GGCTCATACTAAGAAAGGTTTTATTTTTAAGACAAAACAAATAGCATTAACACACATCCAAATGCCAGTGCAAGAGCTAACCAAATTTTATAAGAGAGAAAATTACACTCAGACATCAACTAAAAACTGGAACTACTGAAGAATGATCACTGCTTGTGGTGACATGGGTACAACATGTGCTTGTCTAAGAAGTCGTTCTATGTTTGCATACACGTGGGAATATGTGACAAGAATGAAGCAATGCAAGGCAAAATGGCAGGTGATCAAAGCTTTAAGACCCTTTTCTCCACTCTAATGTGCTCTTGTTTTATTTTTGAGAATTAAAGTAATCAGCAGGTCACTTTACAAGGAACTTCAATATCAAAGAACACTTCCAAAAGCCTAAAATAGATTCAAGGTCACTACTAAAGTTATACAAGGAGGTCAGTGAGGGAAAAAGTTTATGTTCTCAAAAGCCAGATTTCACACAATGGCAGGCACTACATCTCATCACATGTGCTTGCGGTAGAAAAGACGCCAATCTCAATATAGGCTGGTCTTCTTCATGATGCGCAGGAACTCTTGCTCATTGACCTCTCCATCTCCATCTCGATCAGCTTCATCAATCATTTCCTACATGACAGTACGATTCAGGTTGGGTTAATTCGTAAACTAAACTAAAAGGCAATTAAGCAACAGACTTTTAACAATGCTACATGAATAGATAATTACAGTCCACTCAATGTCAATGTGCCACTTTTTATAATAGCTCAGTTCCTGAAAATTTACTTGAAAACCAAGTTATACTTTGGCATACATAGCATCTGGAAGACAGCTTGAAGATCATTTTGACTAGAGGAATTCCTGAAACCTCAAATAGTAAGTAAAATCATACATATGTACATTTTTCTGGAAGCAAGGTTCATCGGTTTGTCAGACTATCAAAGGAGAATTAAGTTGTCAGCAGAGGGACAAGAGTACACTAGCTTTCCTTCAAAGAGGTGCTCACACCAGAGAAAATGTGACTCAGAAAAGTCACAGAGAGCTCAAAGGTGGGAATCCTGAATCCCAGTCTGACACAGTACAAACCTGCAGCTCCTCATCAGTCAGGTTCTCACCCAACTCTTTGGCCACGCGTTTCAGGTTTTTGAATGATATCTTCCCAGTTTCGTCATCATCAAAGAGCTTGAAAGCTTTCAGGATTTCTTCTTTGGTATCTTTCTCAGACTTAAAAAGTAGAACATAAAATGCGTGAGTAGGATGATACTACAGTTACTCATGTTTTGTATCCCCACCTCTGCCCAGTCACCCTCTCTTTTTCAACAACATAACTCGAGTCTAGATTTGGGGCAAGTGTTAAGAAGCCCATTTTGGCCTCAGAGCCACGCCAGGCAAACCAGGCTCTCCAATCCAAGGTGATGTCTGCTCCCTAACTATTGCCCTAGCCCATATCTATTTTATAAATGGTGAGGTAAGGTGTCTGCTTAGTGCACAAGCCAATAAATCTTGAGAAATAGGCACAACGACTTGTTTGGGGGGCCCAAAGTAACATAGGGGGAGAGCAAGCCTTCCGGTGCAGCCGCTGCCTTAACTGCTGTCTGGTCACATGACTGTTTTAACTAGCAGAGGCTGTGGGCCCCTGCCTCCGCAGAGGACTGGGGCTTGGCTTTTCAATGTGCACTGTCACGTATCACTAGCCATCTACACCAGTTGCTCCTAATTGTGATTTTCTTTCTCTCATTTAGAACTTTATCCAGTTCCAAAGCCAAGGAGGGATGTGCGGAGGAACTAACTTCTTAGATTCATTCCCCAACCCCTCCACCCTGCCCCCACATCACCACATGGTCTTGGTGATGGCCTTCATGATATAATGGGTCCTAGGTCACCAAAGATCAAATATCATCCAGGGTAGGAAAAGACAATAAATTCAATAAAATTATTACAAACCCAGAGATTTAAAAGCAAATATAAAAGATTGTACCTAAAACATTCTGTCTGTACAAAGAAAGAAGAAAGTGGATTCATTTTTAAAATATAGGAGCAGCGGGTAGAGTTAAAATTGGGGAAAATATACTGCTTATGCTAGCAGAAGAGGGATCTTCTTGTGGAGGGAGGAGGCAGGGCGGAAAGAGAGGGCTATTTTACTTGTTACTAGATCACAGAGTGTTACTGGGGCCCCAAGTACTCTAACAGAGGAAGAGAGTAAAATCTCCAGGAGCTCAAACACCAGATGTTCCTGAAAGGCACCTGCCACTACCTAAAGACAGAGAGAACGCCTGAGAAGAGCAATTTGGGAACCAGCCTCAAACCTGGGATAACTTTACTAGGTGGTTACAGGATGTTGAGCCTCCTGATCTCTTACATGGGTCCACAAAGAAAACTGAAGGTATGATTAGATGATTTCAAAGCAAGAGAATTGTTAAAGTAGGGACAGAAGGATGGCCTGTGCCATGGGAAACATGCAAGTAGAGGGAAGATGAGCCATGCTAAGGAGGAGCCATGAGGCCCATGAAAGAACAAGGCCTTACTTAGCTGCTGGCCCAGTGGGAACAGACCTCCTGGTGGGGTAATAGCTTATGTTCTCTTGGCCCCTTGAACCCTTTAAAAGGGTGACACCTGAGAGATTAGGGATGGATGAAATCTACCTTAGCAGCACTAAAATATCACATCCCTGTTGCAGGAAAAAGCAAAGCACCACTGCTGAAATAAACACCCCTCAGGCTGAGGCTGCTCTGAACAAAAAATTGGAGAGAAAGTTTGAAATTTAAAGTATATGGACTTTGTATTGTCAAAATGAGAGACATTTAAAAATTATTGGTGTTCACACGTTTTACTACTTATGGTTATCATATTGATGTATCAGTTGGAGAAAGATAATAACCAAAACATGACAGAGGGTAAAGTGTCTTTTGTAACTTTGTGACCTTGCAGAAACCCAAACAGAACTTAAGCATCTTAATTCTCAGTCACAAATACTATCCTTTATCAGGTAAACTCTCCCGTTTTTATTGACTATTCTTCAATGAAGTCATTTCCATATATAGATTCAAATTTATCTACCACTATGGGTGGAAAATATGCTGATTGTCTTAGCTAACTTACCATTTTCTGAGTCATCACAGTCAAAAAGTCACTAAAATTCATTTTCCCTGTCCCTTCCTTATCAATTTCACCTATCATTTTCTTGATTTCTTCTTTCTTGGGTTCAAAGCCCAGGGCCCTCATTGCCACCTGTAATGAAAACAGGATTGTCTCAATATGCACATCTAAACCTAGCAGGAGCAAAAATGACAGTATTGAGAGAATTAAGCCAGCATCTGACACAATGATGTTAAAATGATTGGGGAACACTGTAACATTGATCTAATTGACATTTGCGATCAATTTGATTTAATAACACTTGAGGTAAGTAAAGACAAGAAAACAGCACAGTACAACCTCCCTTTTTACTTTTTGCAGGGAGAAGAAGGCAAAAGGAGTAGAGCAGTGGCAGGGAGAAGACAAGACAGATGCAGAGGAAAGGCAAGGCAGTAGTACAGCAGGAATGTGTAGAGCTTGCCTTAAGTTCCTTAACATCTATAGTCCCAGTTCCGTCAGCATCGAAGAGATCGAAAGCCTCCCGGATTTCCTGTTTCTGCTCTTCAGTAAGCTCAGGCTTAGGACTCATCCTTTTACGCGGGGCACTTGATGCCATGTTACCCTTCTTAAAGTTGGAGGCCTTTACACATTATACAAACATATAAGCACATATTATATTATGTAATGTAATCCATTTTTAAAGTAAGATAGCTACAGTCATACATATCTATCTTTAAAATAGTTTATACCAACCAATTCCAAAGCTGAAGAAGGGCGATAACTGGGTTTACTGGAAATAACAGTGAATCTTTCCATGAACCTCTAACTCTCCTTCTTCTTTACTATTGTTTCTAGAAGCAAGGAGATCACTTGGGGTTTTTTGGATACCTCTTATTGAAAACCGTCCTGAATGAGAGCTCATCCCAAAAGAGAGCTAGTCAAGGAACTGACTGTGGATAACTAGAGATAAACAGCTCTCCCTAAATGCGGGGATCCTGGTTCTGGAAACGACCTTGCAACGTCCACTCGCAGTACTCTCCTTCCCAATAAGTACTACGACTTTCCGATTACTTCTAGATTTGGCCAAGTACTAGTTAAGTTGTTAACATGTATACTGTCACTATCGAGTAATAAAAGTCAATGCATACAGCACCTTTGAGTCTTCTCCAAGTAGCCCAAAGCATTTCCTTAAGACTTCTGTATTTAAATTGTGAAATACATATTAACAATCAGAACACAACAAACCTCCTCCTAGCTCTTCGCAGAAACTTTGGCAGAGCTAGACGGCCAGGAGGCCAGGGTCTGAGAAGGTTCCGGGCCTGTGGGGAACTCGAGTCTTTTTTACCCAGAAAGGGTCACCGAGGGGACCAGGGAAGGCCAGGGGAGCCCGAGGGGTGGGTGGGGGCCTGCTGTGTGTGAAAGGGAGACATCAGGCAAGCGCAGGCCCAGTGGGGCGGCTGGCGTCTCTACTCTACCCTTCCGGGAAAGCGTTCAAAGGAAGGACGGGTGCGCCAAAGCTGACAAAGGCTCAGGAGACGCGGCGTGGCAGGGCAGGGGCCTGGGAAGCGCTCAGCCTCTGGGGTGCAGGGCGCGATGGGGCGGCCAGCACTCACCATAACCGACGTACTCCGGGGCCGTTGTTACGGCAACCGACGTACACACCGACTCGGCGCCATTCCCACCGCCCCGCGCGCGCGGCCCCGCTCCCCATTGGCCGCCCGCTCGCTGCCGCCGCTCCCCATTCGCGTGGGGTCGGAGTAGGCGGGGCTAACCTGGCAAAGCCCAGACCCAGGGCCGGGGATACCAAGGCCTGGCCTCATTGGGTAAGATCACGCCGCGAGCGCCAATTGGCTGAGCCCGAGCCGGGCCAATCCTCTTGGTTGAGGAAGGTCGGCCGATTCTCGGCTCATGCGGGCGGGGAGAAAGGCGTGGAGATCCGCAGCTGGAGGTGGGTGCAGGCTGCGTGCGAGCTGAGCCCGGCTAAGGGGGGAACCTACAGACGGGTAAGAGTCGTGGCCTTTCCCCTGGAGGCCGCCTTGTGTCGGCGACAGGGCAGGATGGGAGGGTGAGGGGCTAAGTGGGGTGGCCAGGGTCGGGTCCTTTCTGCTGTGCTCTAAGACTGAGTTAGGGACAGAGTGCATCGTGGGGACTGTCCTCACGGGACAATTGAGACCCGGAGAGGGGAAGGGGCGTGCTAAGTGTCGTCGCACAGGTTGGACGGGTGGGACTTAAAAACCGAATCCAGCTGAGGCTCTTTCTTTGAGGGTATCCCTTCCAGAGCACCCCCAGCCTAAGCCAGATGAATAGACCCCAGCCCAGGTTCCAAGAGAGGATCTCTTTAGTCTCACCTGGCTAAAAACAGCCCAGGACGGTGAGCTATTGGCCTTGGGAACGGACTTTGAAAGGAGTGAAGTGATAAGGAGTGAGCATGAGGGTCTAGGAGAGGTCATCAGAGTATACTCTTGGATACCCAAACGCTCAAGACAGGTAGGGAGGAGCATTCCAAGCCGAGACGCTGTCATGAGCAAACTCACAGGAGTTTTGGAAGTGAGAGGTATGCTTGGAGAATTAAAAGGGAGCGGGTGTGCAAGGCTGCGGACTCAGCTGGAGCTGCAGAAGTGGAGGTCCAGAGTCTGCCCTAGCCAGCTCTGTGGCTTTTGACCTTCACCTGCTTCCCCTCCAGGCATTAGGACAGTAACTCAGGGAGGCAGAGGGCAAAGCACAAGTTTCTCAGGCTGACAAAGGCCTGAGGCTTGTTAGCACCCCTTAAATGGAACTTCTGTCCTTTGCCCTCATCCCCTTTGAACAGTGAACCAGATTCAAACAGTTGGGTCATATTTGACTCCTTCTTTCCCTGTCCTCTCCCCCGTATCCAGCCTCCAAGTCCTATTAGTTCTGACCCTGAAGTGCTGTTTCTTTTCTCTCTTCTACCTCTGATGCTCCTCTCCTGATTTAGGCCTTCATCATCAGTCTCCCAAGTAGTAGAAGCCAGAGTTCTCACCATGGTCTGCAAACCCTGCAGGACATGTCCCCTCACATCATGCAACACCTGCTCTTCTCCTCCTCTCCTCTGGCTCCCTCCAGCCCCGGGACACTGGCTTTGCTGTTGGGCCTCATGTGCCAGGTACACTTCTGCCTTGAACTTCTGCTTTCACTGTCCCCTCTGCCTGCTGGCCTGTATCTTTCTCTCCTCCAGATCTTTGCTTGGCTGTCACCTCAGTGAGGCCACCCTAAGCACCATATTTAAGTACTGCAAGCCTCTAGTACACCCAAGCCCCTCACTTGCTCTTCTTTTTTCCCTTAGTACTTCCCACCTTCTAACCTACTCTATATTTTATTTATTTGTTTTGTTCTTTGTTGCCCCTGCGCTAGAAGACAGGCTCTCTGAGGACAGGCATCTTTGTTTTGTTCACTACTGGTGCTCCAGGACCTGGGACAGAGAGAGGCACATATTTGGTGCTCTGTAAATCTTAGTCCAATGACTGCTGAGTAGTCCTGGTTTCCTGCCTCTCACCTAAGTAGGCCACCCTGCTCCACCAGGCTGTTCTTCCCAGTGATCAACTCTAGTCAGGTCAGCTCCCTGCTCCTAAGCCTTTGGAGGCTTCCCATGACGACGAGGTAAAGTCCAGGCACCGCAGCCTGGCAGGGGAGCCTCCTGCCCAGGTTTGCCCTTGCTCGCCCTTCTATCTTCCTGTCCCTCCACACCCTGCTTCCCAGTCATTTGGTCTACTCTCAGAGTACAAGGAACAAACACAAGTTCCACCCAGGCTGTGTGACTTTGGCAGGTCACTTGACTTCTCTGACCCTCAGTTTCTTGTCTGTTGACTGAGACCAGAACTGTCTACCTGACTGGATGCTTTGGGATTATAATGGGATCATGTACTCACATGTAAAAGGGCCTGCTGGTGAGCAGGTCTTCAGGCAGTATTACAGTTGATCCTTGAGCAACACGGGTTTGAACTGCACAGGTCCACTTATGTCTGGATTTTATTCTGCCTCCACCACCTCTGAGACAGCAAGACCAACCCCTCCTCTTCAGCCCACTCAGTGTGAAGATGACAAGGATGAAGACCTTTATGAGGTCCACTTCCACTTAATGAGTAGTAAATATATTTTCTCTTCCTTGTGACTTTCTTAATAACATTTTCTTTTCTCTAGCTTACTTTATTGTAAGAATATGGTATATAATACATATAACATACAAAACATGTATTAATCGACTGTTTACATTATCGGTGAGACTTTTGGTCAACAGTAGCCGATTGGTAGTTAAGTTTCAGGGGAGTCAAAAGTCAGAATACGTGGATTTTCAACTGTGTGGAGGATCAATGCCCCGTAACCTCAGCGTTGTTCAAGGGTCAACTGTAGTTGTTTTGTCTGATTTGCTCTTGTCATTCCCCGTGCTTGGCATGCCTGCAGCCTGAGGCTTGCCCCAAATCTCTTCCCCACACTGCAGCCAGAGTGATCTTTCTGATCACAACACACCACTGTCTACAACTTCCAGGGGCTCCTCCATCTTCCCCCAGGGCACGCCTTAGCATGGCACACAGCCCCTGCGTGTTCTCAGCTTTGCTCCCAATCTGGCTTCACACTTGCTGTTACACAACTCGTCACAGTTGCCAGAACACACTGGCTGTGTGCCGTAATGTCGTCCTTCCCACCCCAGCCATGGAGTCTTTCAGGACACCCTTACCCTCTGTTAGACTCACTCTTCTTGGGCCTTTAGAACTCGGCTTAGAGACTGCCACCTTGGGGCGGGCGCCCTGCATTGGTGCTCGGGGCCTGCCCTCATCAGAGCGCAAATGCACTTCTGTGATTCTTTGGTCACTCCCTGTCTCCCTGCGCTAGTTGGTGGGCTCCTTGAAGGTTGGCACTGTGTCTCAGTCAGCTCGTGCCTGGCAGTAGCCAGCATGTGCTGACTTGTGAATGAGGGAATGAATGAATGAGGTGACACCTAGGGGGTTCTTTTTATACATTTCAGTTCCCCTTTTAACCCGGGGGCTTGTTTGAGTCTCACAGCAGCTCTGAGGTAGGCAGGAAGGATTGCTGTTTTACAGATGAGGCCTCTTCGCCAGCAGCAGCAACACAATTCACCAGATAGTCACTCAAACCCATACTCTGTTTCAGGCTCTCTGCTGGGCCTCCAGAGGCTCATAGCCCAGTGGGTCAAGACGGGCGTGAAAAAAAGTCTAATGCAGTGCGCTAAGTGTTAGGACCAGAGCATAAACAGGGGCTGAGGAAACAGCTCACCTCTCCTGGGGAAGGGGAGGAGGTTTCACAGGGGGCGGCTGAGGTAGGCCTTATAGGATGAGGAGGGACTCACCGTGTAGGGGAGAAGGAAGGTATTCCAGGCAGAGGGAACAGCAGGAGTCAGGCTCCCAGGCATGCTGTTGGGTTTCTGAGTGGTTCTCCACAAAATCCAAGCTAGGGGCTTACTGTGTCCAAAAATAGACTAGCAAAGAGACAAATGACTGACAGAAACATGCAGACACCACAGGTCTGTGGGAGGGCGAGGTTGAGCTGGATTGCCCCAGCGTAGTAAGGGCTAAACTGAGAGCTCTAAAGAGAAATGACCTCCTACCCATCAGCCTCACTGGTTCTAACCCATGTATTTTCTTCCCCATATCATATCTTTGAGTTCTGAAATGTAGGCATTGCTTTTGCTCTCACAGAACTCCTGCTTTACATAATTTTCTCAAAGAAATGTATCCATAACGAAGGCATGTGCTGGCCTCATGTGAACTCTTCTCTTTCCATTAGATCACCAGGGCCAGGCTTACAGGGGGCTGAGCGCGAAGCACAAGGTGACAGGAGACAGGGGAATCCTCTTTTACGATCCCAGGCTCAGTTCCCCATATCAGGACTACAAAGAAAGGTCTGAGAAATTCTCCTTGGCTTCCCTTGGATAGCCACACTCTACTGATTGAGGAGTTTGGAAGAAGCGTGCTGTCTGCCCCCCCCTGTGGACTAAAGTGACAAGCTTTCGGTGGCCACATTCCAGCTTCCTACACTGGACTGTGGAAGGCAGGGCTCTCATGACCTTTCCCCTTTACAAAGAGACCACACTAACACTTTTTAGAAGGAGGAGACATTCTCATCTCTGTCTGGTTTGAAACAGACTGACTGTCCCTTTCTTTTGTTTCCAGGAGTCTCTTTTCATCGGATCCTATCGGCAGCTTCACCAGTACAAGATGGGTCTCTTTTCCTAAATGCTTCTTAACCTAAGACTTTGTTTCAATGTATATAATAGATGCACACATTGGATTTTAATGGATTCAAAGACCTAACATTTTAAAGGAAAATGACTTGAGGCTTCTGCTGTGTGAACCCTCACAATCCACCAGCCCCTAGAACGTTGCTCTTTGGGGTCTTATTTTCAATAATTCAAGCTATTCTTCTGTGTGTATGTGTGGTAAAGTAAACATAACAGAAAATGTACCATAGTAACCATTTTTAGATGCACAGTTTGGTGGCATTAAGTACATTCCCATGTTGTATGACCATCACCACCATTCAGCTCCAAAACTCTTTTCATCCTACGAAACTGAAACTCTGTCCCCATTAGCAATCACTCCCCATTCCACCTCCCCCCAACCCCTGGCAACCACCAACCTACTTTCTGTCACTAGGAGTTTGACAACTCCAGGTCCCTTACATAAGTAGAATCCTACCGTATTTGTCCTTTTGTGGCTGGCTTATTTCACTGAGCATAATGTCCTCAAGGTGCATCCATGTTGTAGCATGTCTCAGAACTTCATTGCTTCCTATGGTTGAATAATAGTCCTCTATCAACGGACACTTGGGTTGCTTTCACCTTTTGGCTATAGAGAATGGTCAGGGCATGAAGTCAGTATGCAGGATGAGAAAGAATTCTCAGACAGTGACTAGGATATACAAAAGTAAAAGTTTATTTATTTTCCTGAGAAAGAAAGAGAGAGGTGGGGGAGAGAGAGTGAGTGAGAGTGTGCCCACAACACACAGAGGGAGGAAAAAATATCGGGCCACAAGGAAAACTGCTTGGTCCTTTTAAAGGGTAGAAATGGCTTTTTTCTCTGCTTCAGGGGACTAATAACAAAAGTGGCTGTGAAGCTCCTGTGTTGGCTTTTTCTGTTTCTCATGTAGCAGATTGGTAGCAGACATTAGTTTCTTCTTTCTTCTTGATAGCGGGAGGCATCTGGTATGGTCTCTCCTTGAGGCAGTGGGGGAAGCTCACACTCCTACCATCTGCTCATGAATTTTTTCAAGGATGAGAAAGAACTCAGAGATAACAAGTTAGGCCACAGTGTTTTAATTAAACAAAGGGTAGTTGTGTTGTGAGTTTATTTCTGTTACTTTCTGTTTGGTAGTTTATTTTCCCTTGTACATAGGCTATTAGTAAGACCACCTTTCATGAATAATGCTGTATGAACATGGATGTACAACAATCTGTTCAAGTTCCTGCTTTAAGTTTTTGGGGGTGTATACCCAGAATTGAAATTGCTAGATCATATGGTAACCTGTTTAAATTTCTGAGGAACTGCCATAGTGTTTTCCATGGCAGCTGCGCCATTTTATGTTCCTATCAACAGTACACGGGGGTTCTAATTTCCCCACATCCCCTCCAGCATTCGTTACTTTCCGTTTTCTGGCTTTTGATGCTAGCCATCCTAATAATGGGTATGAGGTGATATTGTGGTTTTGATTTGCATTTCTCTAATGATTAGTGATGTTGAGCATCTTTTCACGTGCTTCTTGGCCTTCTGTGAAGTAGATCTTCTTTGGAGAAATGTCTGTTCAATCAGAGCTATTCTTGATCATTTTAACCTGAGTGTATATCACATGTTGGATGTAGGTGGACAGGCTGGGGAGGAGGGTTGCCGGTGGGATTTGGCTCATTCTCTAGGCTAGTCCTGGGTACCCCACTCCCCAGAGACAGCTAGGCTGTCACCAGAATTCCTATCTGACTTACAATATTTACAAACTTTAAAAGAATTGGGGTATAATTTGAGGAAAAGTAGGTTTTGTTTTGACAATAGGCTGGTTTGGTAAGAATTGTGTGATCATTGTTTGAACAGTACAGCCCCATCAGGGCAGGACATGTTTCTTCTTTCACGCATCTTCCTGTAGCAAGCAAGGAGGGTATAGGCGCTAAAGCTTCTTGCTTTTGCTAGTAGTATGGGGACCTATGGAATTGGCAGCTGTGCTATATGGATTTTGGAGCTATAAACAATACTTCTATGAGTGTCCTTGGTCTACTATGATAAATGACCACAAACTGGGTTACTTAAAACAACAAAAATTCATTCTCTCACAGTTCTGGAGGTTAGAAGTCTGAGATCGAGATTTTAGCAGGGCCACATTCCCTCCAGAGGCCCTAGGGGAGGATCCTTCCTGCCCCTTGCAGCTTCTGGTGGCTCCAGATGTTCCTTGGCTTGTGGCTACGTCACTCCAATCTCTGCCTTTGTGGCCTCCTCCTCTTCTCCCTGTATCTCTCCTCTGTATGTCTCTTATAAGAACACTTGTTGTTGGATTTAGAGCCCACCAAGATAATCTCCCCATCTTGAGATCCTTAACTTCATTACATCTGCAGAGACTCTTTTTACATATAAGGGCATATTCACAGGTTCCAGGGATTAGGCCGTGGACAGACTACAACAGTCCAGAACTGTCTTCACATGTCAAGGTGGAGGCCGTGGTGTTTCTTTAGAGCTCTGTGCCCCTTCAGTGGCAGAGAGCACTCCTGACCCCTTCCTGAGGGCCATCCCTGTGCAGAGGGTTCCATTCACTAGAGATGACTCTTGTCACCTGATTCCTTTGAAACAAGTGCTCTGGTGTCCTGAGTGTTAACCTACAGACCAGCCATCATGGTGCCAAGAGCATTCCCACCCTGTGACTGCCACAGAGATCTTAAGTGAAAAAGCCACTTACTTTACTCCCATTGTTAAAGGGGCTCAGAAGGATTTTTGTCATCCTTAGACACCCTGAACAGCCCCTCCACTGGTCCACTTCTTTTCCTACTTCTCATGCAAAGCCTGAGGTTGTGGAGGTGATTCAATCTGTCCTTCAGCTCCGTTGTTTAGTTAGAAGAGCTGAGTGAAGCGTTTGGGGCCAGTCGCTATGCTGTTCCCCAAATGACGCGGGAAGGTGAGTAGTTGGCTTGTGAGTCTCCCTCCGTCTTATTTCCTCTTCACACCCTGCCCTGAACTACTGCTGAGTGTACCCTTTACAAAAAAAATCCTTGGTTGTATTAATATCTTCATTAGCCAGTATCTGGTTCTTGCAAGAAGTACAGGAATTAGCTTTAGGCACGACCTGGCAGCGTTTCCAGGGCAGACAGAACAGCCCCTGCCTGCCCCAGCTTACGGGGCACGGCAGCAGGTAGGGCAGGAGAGGTCTGAAGTGGCAGAGGGATTCCAAAGAGGGCCACAGAGGAGGCATGGTAAGGGTGACTCCTGCAGAGGAAGTAACCATTTACGATGATAATAAAATCAGCTGCCTTTAATGGGGTGTTAACAGGTGTTTGGCCTGTGCTGAGGACTTTGCTCATGTTTTCTGCTTTAACTTTATTTAATCCTCATCATGACCTTATGAGACCATTCATTTTACAAATGAGGAGCTGCGGACTCAGTTCTTTTCAATAATGCCCCCATCCCCCCTGCTGGTAAGGAGGAGAGCTGGGACTTGAACTCAGGCAGCAGGCTCTGGGTTCACTAATTTATTGCCAACTACATTGAAGAGTGGTGTGACTTGTGTTTTGGCAGGCGATGAGGGTGAGCAGAGGCTCCCAGTTAGCCTGGCAAGCCCTTCCCGGAATCCCATCATTGCCCCAGGACAGCAGTAAGGCCTTAGAGGGGTCAGAGGCCAGATGTGAGGGAGCTCCTTGGCCCCGTGGATGCCATCTGCCTTCTCATTTGCTCGTGTGTCTGCGTACCTGGGGAAATTGAGTAAGACACTAGCAATGGGTATTCGTGATTGTAGCACCACCAGGCAAATAAGTAACAAAGCCGTTTGCCCCACTGAAGCCCCCGCATGTTAGCTGGGAGTACGTGCGCATGCCAGGGACAGCGGGAGGGGCTGAGCGTGGGTGTGTGCACCACAGTAGTCATGAGGCCAGCCAATGCCCACTGTGTGCTTCACGCCCAAGATACAGCAGTGAGCAAGGTGCCAAAATCCTTGTTCTCCAGCGGCTTTGGTCCCGATACACATTGGGCCAAGTGAGCGAAACCTCAGCCACATCTCTGTAGGGTGAGCAGATGACAGGGCCCCTGTCAACATGAAGGGGACTGTGGGGAAAAGGGAGGGATGGGACAAGCAAAGAACTACAGGTTGACTTTGTTTATTCGTTATGTGCATTCTAAAAAGGGCTCTGAAAAGTCAAGTTTTAAAATATCTTGTCCTAATAACTTTCATTATGAGTTCAGAAAAATGCTCCCCCAAATGGCCCCATTAGATATTGAGGGTCCGAACATCCATTTCAAGGCCATTTTGGCCTTCAACAAGCCCACAAAATCAGCTCCCTACAGGGATGCATGATCACGTCCATTTGTCAGAGGTGGCAAGGGGTACAGAACTGGAGGTGTGGGATAGAACTGGAGCAGTCACGGTGCCGCCTGCCACCTGCTGCCTCCTCACCGAAGTGTTCTTGGAATCTAGTCTTTCACAAGCAAAGTTATACTCCTTTCTAGTCACAGCTTTTGCCATCTCCACATGTCAGGGGATCTGTAACTAAGTAAATTGGCCACTACCAAGAAAACATAGGTGCAAGGCCAATGCATCCTAATCAAATGGCTTCTTTGTGTCCGCAGTTCAGAACCGTGGACGGCTGAAGGGAGGAGCATGCCCTAGGGGCTCTCACTAAAGCCGGACTCCTCTGTTTGGTAGCATTGTCGGACTTTGTCACTACTGCCTCCCGGTTGTGAACTGCTGAGTCCCCATGATACTCTGACCACTTCCCAAGGGTTCTGGTGGCCCCAGACACTTGGTTCTTCCACACATAATCAAGGTGGCTTTAACTTCTCCAAGCAGGAGAGCCCCGTCCCATTACCCTGTGGCCACCCCCCGCCCCAGCATCCTATGCCCTGACGTCCTGGGGATGTGCCCGTGAGCTCATCTCATTGATGGGGAAACTGCTGCAGCCAAGAGAGGTGACTGGAGCAGATTCACACAGTTCACGGTAGGGCCAGGACTGGAACCAGGACTCCCCAGGCCTGCACACTGCCACAGTCTAATGTGCACCACGAGAGAACTTGAGGATAATTGAAGCACATGAGTGCCATGGAAAAAGCTACACTGCAAAAAATGACATGATTTAACTGGCTTCCCATTCTGCTTCTATCCAAGTGTATGGTGAGCGGTGGGCCCACTGATGCCTGTCTCTAAGAGAACCGCAGACATCATAGGAATGTTAGCTGCGTGCTTCCTTGCACAGCAATAGCCATGGGTCAGCTATTTGTGAAAACTTGATAGGAGGATGGCATCCGCTCAGAACACTAACAGCTAAAGTTATTTTGGCTTATACAACATTAACGTCTATCTCTAAATATATCTTTAAGAAAAGAAGACTTGACTGCAAACAGAACCACATTCTGCATCGAAATGGAACAAGCAGTTGGTGAGCCAATGAGAGGCCAGGACGTGCAGACACATTTAACCGAGGACCTTCCCAAAGTGAGTACTGACGTGGGAAAGGTTAATCAGAATCAGGTAAGGGGAAAGTTGACACATGCATAGCAGCAAGCTGTTGATATTTACCTGTGAGTCAAAAGTTATATTTGTGCATTTATTAAATCAATCAATATAGGGTATTTTTATATAAGATATTAATATATAGCTTTATTTAACATTTATCAGTCACTTATTGCTGTGTAACAAACATCAGAATATAGTGGTTTAAGAGCTCACGACTCTGTGGTTTGGGGTGGGCCTAGCTGGGGGGGTCCTGGGCTGGTCTCCCCTGGGCTCATGCATGTAGCTACAGTCACACATCTGGCAGTAACTGTTGGCTGTCAGCTGGACGCCTCGGTTTCCCTTCATGTGGCCTCCAGTAGGCCAGACTGGGCTTCTTGGTAGAATGGCAGAAGCTTTGCCAGAGGGCGGCAGCAGCAGTTGCAAGGCCTCCTAAGATCTAGCGTCACAAGTCTCAGAAGAGACTTGAAGGAATTGTTGAGCCTAGTCATGGTCAAGCCTCCTGGAGAGTCTTCATATAGGTCTGCAAAGGCTTGGTTTGATTCATTCTTAATGAATGTTATACTTCAGAAATATAATCACACCGAGGTGATTACAAGTGATTATCAAGTGTTAATAAATTAAAGATCCCCAAGCCCAAGAGGTTCTTGTGGGCCACCAGATCACCGTGGTTTTGGTGGAGAGCTCGGAGTAAAGCCTCCTCTGGGCATCTGTGGTTGGAGCCACTTGCCATCCACAGTCCCTTATATGGGTAAATTAGGATTTTATTGCTATTTAGCAGCCAGAAAAAAAAAAAAAGTCTAGGTTCCAATGGTTACAGCAAACTGCCATTGTCATCTAGTGTCAAATTTTTGTGTTCTTCAAAATAACTTCTTTTTTTCTGATTGATTGACTTTATAGGAAGTAAAAGTTGTAAATTTGAACTACTAAAATAAAAAGAATACTTTTGTCTTAACTTATATATTCTGCATAAGATCTCTCTGAAAAAAGAGTCCCACTGTTAACAACAAAGCAAAACAAGAAAGGTTGGGAAAAACACATGGCCTAGACCATTCTCTTATGTCAAGATTATATTACAATTAAATTAGTTTGTGTAGATGGCTGTTTCCTATTCTTAAGACTATCTCCAAGACGTTGATTTTATAACTTCCCTCAGTAACCTGTTTTTGAGTCCCGCTCCCTGTTTCCAGTCTGGAATTTTATTCTGAATTGTTAGCACATACTCTTTCTCATCCACTGTGGCAGGAAAAATAAATAGGTGTTTCACATGATCTCCCCTAACCGCATAGCATTATAGATGTGATTAAAGACATTGCCCTGGCCGGGCGCGGTGGCTCGCACCTGTAATCCTAGCACTCTGGGAGGCAGAGGCAGGAGGATCGTTTGAGCTCAGGAGTTTGAGACCAACCTGAGTAAGAGCAAGACCCCGTCTCTACTAAAAATAGAAAGAAATTAGCTGGACAACTAAAAATATATAGAAAAAAATGAGCCAGGCATGGTGGCACATGCCTGTAGTCCCAGCTACTCAGGAGGCTGAGGCGGGAGGATCACTTGAGCCCAGGAGTTTGAGGTTGCTGTGAGCTAGGCTGACACCACGGCACTCTAGCCCGGGCAACAGAGCCAGACTCTGTCTCAAAAAAATAAAAAATAAAGACATCAGCCCATCACACAGACTTCTCAGGGGTAGAGGCTGATTTGAGTCCCGTCACTACAAAACTCGCCGTGGAACAGCTGTTGGCCCGCTCATCCCAAGCAATGTTGGTGCAGCATTTCAGTATAATGAAAGAATACATGGCACCCTGTCCAAGAGTAGAATACTGATAAGTCACATTTAAAATCGTGAAATGGAATTGCGTTAGAAATAATAGCAAGGTTATTTATTTTTTGAAAAAATTAGACTAAACATCTGTAACTAGAGGTGACAGATAATATAAATGAGGCAAGCTGAAATCCTTCAGGATGCTGTCAAACGTGTCTCATTCTGACCCTCTTTTACAAACTTTTAGTAAACCAAGAAAACCCAGGTTGGGAAACAGGGAAGCTTGGATTTAATCTAAATAGCCGCAGATTGCCTGTGCAGGTGACTGGGGATGAGGAGAGAAGAAAGGGGTTACCAGAAAGGGGACCGATGGGAGTTTTGTATTTAACTTGGCTATGACCTGAGGAAATATCAATGTCAGTCAAGGTGCTAATTATTTACCGTGGTGTGATGGCATGTGTATAGGAATAACCAGAACAAAGCATAGAAAAGGATGGAAAATTAGTTTGGGGTGGCAAAAGAATGCCAAGGCCGATTATGTCAGTGGATTACGCATGAACAAGCAATGCCAAGGTTATAGCACTGTCTCTAGATGAGCCTGGTGGAATCTAGCACAAGGGCCATTTCAGAGCTGTAGGAGGTGTCTGGCGCTGGCCTACCTGAGTCTCTTGTACAGCTCAGTTGTGTCAATGTTTAAGGAATAAGTAGGGAGGTCTGTTTTTTAATCAGGAACAGAATTTCTTTAAAATAATTAGTTTCTATACACCCAACTTAGATTTACTGTACACGAGCTACAGAAAATGAGGGTTTGTCATCTCAAGGAAGCCCAGATGCAGTTTTAGAAAGACCCAAGGGAGGAGGGATATCACAGGTCCTCCTTTGGGGACATTTGTGGCCAGCTTATTCCGCATGCAGCAGCCACAATTTTGCATTGACGTGCTGGACTCAGAATATTTAAGCACCTTGCGTGTGGTACTCTGGCTTTCCACTATCCCCAGTTACCAGCATTGGAATTACTCAAGAAATCGTGCACACTGGGGAGGCTGAAGTGTAAACACCATAGCTCTCCTCTGGTTCTTCAACTTCCTGGAAGTTCAGAGGAGGGAAAGCAGAGCCCAGGCCCTGTGAGGAGCAGTTCACCCATCCTTGCTACAGCACTACGGGAAATCCCATCAAGGCTGTCTTCGATTGCTATAGGCTCAGGCGAGAAGGGATTGGGTGACCACAGCCCCCTTGTGGTCAGGGAGGAAAAGGGACGGACTTTGTCCTGTGAGCATTTGATAGTTTCCACCTGATGTTTTAAGAGGACACTATCAAATGGCTGGGTTTTTTTTTTTTTCCTTTTTTCTCTTTGGGCCTTAGATAAGTGCCCAGGGATCAAATATTGAGACCAAGAATGTATCACTTTTGGGTTTTTTGTTTGTTTGTTCAGATTGTCCAGTTTTTTTTTTTTTATTTCAGCATATTATGGGGGTACAGATGTTTAGGTTACGTATGTTGCCCTTGCCCCACCCCAAGTCCAAGTTTCAA